CAGACATGGTGAATGGCGCATACTGGACTGATGGACCTCCATTTGAAGGGTGTGAGCACGTGGAGCGCCTTGGTAGGGGGTCGCGGGAGGAAAGACTTGTGGTTGTTCCGCGTGCATGGCGACTTGATTGATATTAGTTAGCAATTGTGAGTTGGTAGTATAATGGGTAGACGTCAATGAACTACGGTCAGTTTGTTGCAATTTGGTTGTGCGGCTTTTGCGCCGGCTGTACAGAGCATTGGGGTACGGGATGTTGGCCGCTTGGGCGTAGAAGCGTAGGTGTGGAGGGAGTGAGGATAGTTAGGGTCGTGGTGCTCTCGGTCCTTCATGGTATGAAGGTGCTGCTGGTGTAGGATTTTGAGGGGCAGTTGGCGTTGGGATGGGCGCAGGTTGTGGGATACGCCCGTTCAAGTAACCTTGAGGAGGTGTGGAATGTACGGCGTGAGGGTCATGGAAAAGGTGCATGATGTATGAATTGGACTCTCTGCGGTGGTGGGTGGTGACAGGGTGTTCAGAAAGCTGTCGTTCTTGAATAGTCGACTCCCCGGCGGGTTGTAAATGACTGATATCAATTGGTGAGGAGTTGGACTGCCAGTCAACCATGCCGGAAAATGAGCGCTAAGGGTGAAGTGGGGGAGTTGGGCTACGAGTCAGGTTGGCGGATTGAGTGGTGGAAGATGAGGTGGACTCCTCGCGCTCCAGTTCAACTATGCTTTCAATTGGAATGAGCACTTTTTGAGGAGGGAAGTGTGATACACCGTCCTCCACAAGCTCGAGCGCAGTCTCAGATATATTAAGCTTGTGCTGTCGAGCAAGGACATACATGTGTTTGCATGCAGACTTATGTTCTCAGAAGTATGGACAAGTGCAATTGTTGGCTGAGCCCTTCCTTCCGGGTTTTGCTGGGGTTACGTTAATGTCGTAAGTGACAGTGCAAGGGCGGGTAAAACTGCTCATGGTGAACTTAATGAACAGAAGTCAGAACGCGAAGTCAAGGGGAGGCTGTGACTGTCGTGCTTACTTTGTTAGGTGAGTCTTGGCCAACCATGACACTGATCTCGGCGAGTTCCAAATTGGTGTAGGTCTTGGCGACGCCTTTGGCGACGTTTTGAAACTTGGATGTTCTTTGATCGCGAAATCCTGATGTGGTAGTAATGTGAAATTGTCGGTAATCCGGCTCCACGTCTTTGACAAGAATGTGGATGACCACGTCGATGCGAGCGACTGTGGTGCTGCTGAGGAAGTAAAATTTGAGGACACGGTGGTGTGACTTGTTATAGTTATTGGTGTGTATGCCTTGCATTGGAACGGAACGCTCGGAAAGCATACAGTACTCGGACTGAATGATCCATTGGTCTTCAAAATACGTAATGAAAGTAGGACAAAGTACCCGGTAATCACGTTTGAAACGCTGCCAACGATCCTTCCACCGTGTGGCATGGATGATTTCCATGGCGTCCATGTGCATCTGACGTGCCGGTTGAGAGGGGAGCTACAACAGTGTTGGTTAGCATTGTAGCGCGGTGGGTAGGTATATGTTGCGAACTTACCAACTTACCCGCCTTGGCACGTATGGCGTGAGAGACATGAAATAAGCAATAGTAGTGCTTAGGTGGAATGATGCAGTTGCGGTAGGTGTCTTTGATGGCCTTTTTGAAACAGGTGCGCAGTCCGTCATGAAGGCCTTTGGCTG